ACTCCATCTTAAAAAAAAAATGGACAATTTTTTTTTCTTTTTCACCCCAAGGAATCTAGTTTGTAGCCATTCAAGCCAAGTGCTCTTGGTGTTTGGATGAATAATTTTGTTTTAGTTGTTACAGCAAGCATCAGAGTCGGAAGTTTTAGACATTGATGGAGGCTTTCCAAAGCTTCTAGCTGTGGTGACAAGACCAGGTGAGGGGTGGGGATGAAGTTAGATTGGAAAATGGGGGGTAGCAGAAGAGAGGGAGGATAAGCAGCATGATGAGCTATCTGAGGTTCTTACAAGATTCACAGTTTGATGTAGAATTTAAAGCCTATTTTGGGTCCTAAAATGGAATTCCCAAACTGTGATATTCTTAGTCACGTTCTTCTGTAAGATTTCTGTTGCTTCTTACAGATTCCACCTGAGAGATATTGTCTCTCTAATGTCTGTATTTCTGAAATGTCATTCCTTTGTTCAATCAACCAGTGTTACACGGAGGGCTTACCAAGAGGGAATCACGGATAGCCATATGGTCTGAAGATTTCCCATCCACCACCGCCCGTCTCCCTCTTCCCATCCTGACTGGGCTTCTAGCTGCCAGCTCAGCATCTGCACATGGAGGCCTCCTGGACATTTAAAACTCAACATCCCCAAAACTAATCTCTTGATACTTCTCTTCCAGCCAAATCCTCTCCTCTTCCAGGAGTTCTCATCTTAAGAAACGGCACCTCCATCCACCCACTGGCTCCAGCCAAAACCTGGGAGGTGTTCTTTCCATTTCTTTCCACTTCTTTCCTAAATTCACCCAGCAGCAAGTCTTGTTGCTCCCTTCTTCAAGATACACCTTGAGTCCACATCCACTCTTCCATGCCACCTGTCAAGCCCCAGCTGCCATCATCTCTCCCCGGGACTAGGTCAATGGAACTAGTTTCCATTCTCCACTCAGCAATCAGAAAGAACTGACGTATAAAGGACAGCATGCCGCTTCTCTGAGTGACATCTTTCAATGGCTCCCTCTGGCATTTAGAACAACACGCAGGCTTTTTGCCTTGGCCTGCAAGGTCCTGCACAATTGAGCTTCTTTCTGCCTTTCTGACCTCGTTTCATCTCTTCCTCCCCTCACTCTCCATTCTTTGGCTACACAGGCCTGCATTCGGATCCTTACATGCACTCAGCATTTGCTGGTCTTGGTGAGTTCACACACTCCGTGCTTTCTGCCTGCCCGTCCCTCCCTTTTAGCCTCTGCTACTGCCCATAGCCCTCCTGCACTTGTCTGTCCTGTCTCATCTCAAAGCACTCAGCTAAGTTCTCAGAAAGGCTTCCATCATCTGATAGGATTTGGTTGCGTCTCCACCCAAATCTCATCTTTAGTAGCTCCCATAATTTCCACATGCTGTAGTAGGGGTCGGGTGGGAGATAATTGAATCAACGCTATGGCCGTTTCCCCCATAGTGTTCTGGAGGTAGCGAATAAGTCTCATAAGATCTGATGATTTTATTAGGGGAAACCTTTTTTGCTTGGTTCTTTCATTCTCTCTTGTCTGCCACTATGTAAGACCTGCTTTTTTCCTTCTGCCATGATTGAGGCATCCCCAGCCATGTGGAACTGTGAGTCCATTAAACCTCTTTTTCTTTATAAATTATCCAGTCTCCAGTATGTCTTTAACAGCAGTGTGAAAATGGACTAACACACACCTCAATTAGCTCTCCCCTCTTCTCTTCCTTCATATGCTCTATCAATATTTGCCATTGCTACTGATTTGTGCATTCTTTTAGATTAAAGCTGTCTACAATGAAGGTGGGGACCATGTCTGTCTTAGTTATTATTTTACTATTGATGCCCAGCACATAGTAGGTGCTCAGTTAATTCTGACAGAATGGAATGACAAGTAGCTGAACGTGAGGGTGCATGAATGCATGAATGAATGCCATTTTGAGCTTCCAACACGTGTAATCATATAAAATAGAACAAGTTTGAGACTTTAAAGAAGGCCACTCCAGCCTGCACCATTTCAGCCGCTGTAGGAACATGCGTTATTCGCGTCCCAAAGACATGGCTTGAGTAAGTGTACATCCAAACAAGGATTTTTACATTTTCAAAAACTCTTGCTATTTCCTGAAACAGATTGTGTCTCTCTGATTGTCTATTAAGTTTTTTTTTTAAACTGCTGAGGAACTTGGAACAACACCAAAGTAATCTGCATTTCCATTTTTATATTTTAATTTATAAACTGCGCCTTATAATTTACAAGCACTCACTTACTTAGTGTCTCTAGCAGAGCCGAAACAAATACTAACTCTGCCAGCCCTGCTACTCCAGCCTGCTCTCTGTACCATTCTTATCGGGAACTTTTGAGTTTTTCAGGTTGGAGAGGGTGGGCTGGAGCTAGCCCTAGCGTGGGGAAGTTAAGGTTAGTAACAATGATGATAGGTCACATTTATTTAGGAAAGGGTGACGAAGGGCTCTTTATTCACATTTTATAGATGAAAAAATAGAAGCTGGAGATGGGAATCACATGACCAAGAAGGTTTGCTTGTGACCAATGAACCGGGCCGACTGTCTGCATATCTGGAATTCCTCACGCCAAGGGTCTTTCTGGAACGCTAAGCCAGGCTCTCTCAACCTCAGCTCTAGCACCATTTTGGCCTGGATCGTTCTTGCTGAGTATTGCAAGGTGTTTAGTAGCATCCTCAGCCTCTACACATTAGACGCCTGGGGGACCCATTCCAAATGTCTCCAGGCATGGCCAAGTGTCCCCTGAATTACTCATGACTGAGAGCCACAGTATAAGACGGTGGCCATGACTTTGATTAAAATGGAGGTACAGAAGTCAGGAAAACCCGTCTCCCCTCACAGGCCTCTCCCCTGACTTCCCTACAATCTAGCCACATAGAACTCTGCTCCAACACTCAGTGCCTCCTTTGTGGTATTAAGCGCTTTACTTTCTTGATCTCATTTAACCCCCCAAAATGGTTACAACAACCTCTTGGTTACAGGTGAGGAAATCGAGGTTTAGAAAGATCACAAGTTGCACAGCAGTGAGTAGCAGGCTGAGACTACACAATGACACAGCAGTGAGTGGCAGGCTGGGATGCAAACCCCAACCTGTCTAGTCCTGGGGCCAGCGTTTAGCTACCCCACCCTGCCCCCTGCCGCCCTTCCCACTCTCACAGGTGAGAAATAGATTTTCTTTTTCTGGGTCAGCAGGGAGTGCTGTTTCAGAAGCCTCGCTCCTCTGCTCTGTAGAGCAGTAGTGCCTCCCTCCTAAGGCAAATGTTTTTCAGGTGCACAGCACACATCCATGATTGTGGGTCTGCATGTCTGTCGCCCTCCCCAGGCTGTGGTCTGTGTCCTGAGCCCCTAACACTGGGCCTTGCTGAGTACAGCATTTGTAAAAGACGTTTTCCATACAGCAGCGAGGATTAGACACAGCAGCCAGTTGTGGAGTATGAGTCCCCTGGCCATGTCCTCTGTGACCTTGGGCAAGATAAAAACTTCTCTGAGCCCAATATTTCCACCCATAAAATGGAAGGACTCATTTCTTAGGACAGATGGGAGAATTAAATGATGATAAATGCAGACTGGTTTGCACTGATGCCAGGCAGGCGCTGGACACATGGTCCCCAGCAGGGAGTGTCTAACTCCCTACATGAAGTTGCCTACACAAAGCTCCCTTTCATTCCTGAACCTCTCTTGGTCAGTCTGTGACCCCCATGTAACCAGTGGAGTTACTCTTTTAGGGTTGCCTGTCCAGCTAGACTGTAAGCTCCCTGAGGACAGGGGCTGTTCCTTTGTTCCCTCCCACAGCGGCCAGCCTGATAGTGTTCTCATGGATCCTGTCAATGGATCACCAACAATAATTGCTGAAGAAGCAATAGTGTGATTCCTATTTTTGCATTGGATACTGCCTTTTCAGGGTAGGTTTTAGCATCTGCAATGCTTTTCCTCGGTTTGCAGCGGAGCAGTGGTGCTGTGATTCCCTTCTTCGAAAAGTTCAGGCTATTAGCCATTACTCTGCTTCTGCTTTGGTCATTTTCTTTGATTTCCCCAGCCGTACACTACCTGTGTTAAGATTCCAGCTCATTGCTTCAAACGTAAGGATTTGAAGAGGGGCTCAGGAGGGCCTAGTTAGCTAGCCTTTAAGGCTCAGATGCCCATCCTACCCTGCCAGGAGCTGCTGGACCGCCGGCCAGTCAGGATGCTTTCTGGACTTCAGCAGCCTCATCAGTAAATTAAGGATATGGATGGTACCTGCCTCAAAGTGTAAGGACATGAAAAGCACAGTGGCTAGAAGGTATCACACCCTCAGTCTCTACTAACCCTCGTCTGACTGGGGCAGTGGGGTGGCCCGTGAGCAGCTGAGCGAGGGGAAACTTTCCCGGGCTTTCCAGCTCTTTAGCAGGCAGCAGGCAGGGCCCAGAGCGCCGGGCGTGCAGGCTGCAGCGGCTTTGCTTCCCCACGTTCCTCCCATCGGGAAGGCTGACTGGCTTCAGTAACCCCGGGTGCTGTGGGAACGGGAGCCAGACCTCACTGCCCCACCGCAGAAGACGCGCAAATCCACCCCCCGACCCCGCTGCAATCACTTCAACATTAACAAAGGCTGCTCAAAAGTCTCTCCTCTTCAAAGCACCCAGGGCTGCCTCCCCCCGCGCCCCCGGTAATCAACCCAGTTCTCCACACCCCCCACCCCGCGACTTTATTTATTATCTGCCAGAAAGGAGCCCAGTGCCCTCCCCGGGTTATAGCCCTGGAGGGAATGCAGGCATCGGATCCTCTACTGCTCGCCAGGCCCCCAGGGGATCTCCGCCAGGCTCGGCCCCTCCCCCAAGGTCACCCAACTTTTCCCTCCGTCCCCGCGCCCGGGCCGGGGCGGGAGGGGGTGGCGGGATGGGGACCGGGTGGGGCGCCCTAGGGGCTGCGCTGGCCCCCTCCCCCGCGGGGCGGGCCCCGCCATGCATTATTCATTGGCCAGAGCAGGGCTGCGGGCGCGAGTGCTGATGTCAGGCAGGCGCGAGTGCGGCGGGCGCAGCGGCGGCGGCCGCCCAGCAGCCCGGGCTCGGGTGGGGGGGCGCCGAGTGGGGGTGGCGGCCAGCATGCTGCTCGGCTGCGGCTCGGCCTCCCACACCCGCGGCGCCCTCGTCCTCGCCAGCAGCGGCGGCGGCGGAGCAGCGAGCGGCGCCCGCATCTGCAGCGGCGCCGGGTCCGAGCGCGCGGCGCGGCGGCGGGGGTCGGGGCCCGGGCGGGGAACGGGGACCCGGCATGGCGCTGCGGAGAGGCGGCGGCGGGGCGCTCGGGCTGCTGCTACTGCTGCTGGGCGCCGCGTGCCTGATCCCGCGGAGCGCGCAGGTGAGGCGGCTGGCGCGCTGCCCCGCCACTTGCAGCTGTACCAAGGAGTCCATCATCTGCGTGGGCTCTTCCTGGGTGCCCAGGATCGTGCCGGGCGACATCAGCTCCCTGTGAGTGGGACCCCTCCAGCCCCCACCCCGCCCCGCCCCACCCTGCGCCCGCGGCCGCGAGGGAGTTGCCTCTGGCTGCTGAGGCAGCGCGACCCTGACCCACTCCCCAGGGCCCTTCTTTGCGTTGGGTGGGGGACGTGGGTGGAGTGTTGGCACCGGGGAGGACGGTGAGAACCTGAGCCCCACAATCTGGAAACCCAGACAGGTCCCTGGGGCAGTGTTTCTCACAATGTGGCCCGCGGGCCACCTGCATCAGACTCACCTGGGGAAGCCTGTGCCAATGCAGAATCCGGCTGCTCTGAAGCTGTCTGTGGAGCGCAGCCCTGTAGAGTGCATCTCACGTCCCTGGGCGACTCAGAGGTGCATTAAAGTTTGAGAGGGGGTGTGTGTGTATGTGTGTTTGCGTGTTGGGGTTGTGTGATTGTGTAGGAGCAACTGAACACGACCTGATTGAGTGCAAACTGGGAAGAGTGAGGCCTCACAGCCCCACGTCAGGTCTGGGGTGAACATTCACCCCTGGCCCCCTCCTAACTTCTCCACATCACAGGTTGCACAAAGCCGAGGTCAAGGCAGGCAGGCTCTGGGAGCTGAGGGGCTGCCCCACGTGGCCTGGAAGAGGGGGTCACAGAAGGCCTGGCAGAGGTTTACAGCATGTTGGGCGCCTAGCCCAGTGGCCAAGTGCTTTGAAGCCAGCCTGACTTCTTGCCCTGAGGTCAGGAGGGCTACTTGCCCCCTTTCCCCATCACACAGTTGTGTTGGCTGCGTTTTCAGCAGGAGGAGCCCACAGGAAAGGGCTTCACATGATTTATCCACCTGCCGAAAGGTGCTTTCACCCTGCCCACACCTGGCCACTCACGCCAAATGACCAGCTCTCTTAAGGGCTGTGGAAGGGGCTGGTTGGGCTGGATCTTTACTGCTAGGACATTTCCTGCTAAGACCACTCTACTGTTCCAGGCCAAGGTGCCTGGGTGCCCATTCAGCGGTGGAGGCAGGGAATCCCCGGGGTGACGTTGCTTGCACTCAAGATACTTTCTTGTGTCCAGTGCTCCCACACCATCGACCCAAGGCAAATTGTAGGGGCCTGGACCCGGGAGTGAGGGGGTTTCCGTTTGCATTGATAGAAAGTCAGAAGAGTTTGGCTGGTGGGAACAGAGGACCTTTTGGATATTGCCAAGTTGGGTGACATGGAGGATTCCAGAAATTAGAGTTCCCTGTATTAAATCCTTCAGACCAGCAGCAGCTGCTTAAGTGATCTGCATGTGAGCTGAAAGGAATTCTGAAATAATGTATTCAGATCCTGCTGTGGCCAGAAAGGATAGGGGCCTGGGGGCAGAAATAAAGCCAAGCAGTCTTGCCAGCTAGTTGACCATTTTATCTGGCAGATGGCACTGCCTCTTCCCACATAGGGGACTTCAGGTGTTTGTGAGTTTTTCCCCAGGGCCTTCATGGTGCATTTAATCAGAAGTGCTCTGACTGTCTTTCAGAGACGGGCTCCGGATAGGAATGCTTAATCCTACTCCAGGTTTCGTAGGCCAACAGTAATGCAATGTCTACACAAACAGAATCAGGGGCGGAGATGAAGCGATTATCCATTTTCAGGCAGGGGCCTCCTGTAGTTAAGAAAAGGAAGTGAGGGGATTGATTGAAACCGACTGAGATAATGTCTGTGGAAGGAGCTGATGGTAAAGGTTTCTGTTATTCAGACTAGTTTTCATATTCATCTTATTCATTGGCAAGTGGCTTGTCTCTTCTCCTTCCTACCCTGGGAAAGATCCTGGCCAACTGTGAGTCAGGGTTTGAAGTACAGATGCAGGCAGAGGTTGATTGCCCACCCTGCCTGACTTCCTAATAGAAACCTATACCTACTTTTACCCATCTTTTGCCCATAGGAGCCTGGTAAATGGGACGTTTTTGGAAATCAAGGACCGAATGTTTTCCCATCTGCCTTCCCTGCAGCTGCTGTGAGTATGGGAAGATACCTCTGCGCAGTGGGGGGCCCAGAGGTGCCATCCTTGAAGGGCGGTCTCTGCCTCTTCGGTATGAGCCCTTCCCAAAGTACCCCAGCTCCATGAGTAGATCATGGCTGCCTCTTGGTGTTAATTTACCCTATGGTGCCCCCAGCAAAGCACTGAGGCTCCCTGCTCAGTTTTCTTTCCTTAGTGTGATATTTGTTTTCTTCAAAGACCTTATCGTAGACCCCAGCATGTAGATCTAGTAAATGGAGAGAGGTGATTGCTTTGACTCATGACCTGAACATCACCTAAATGCACTGTTTCCCAAACACCTCAGTTTAAAAGAAAACTTCATTTTAAAATCTGAATGTTACTCTGGAAATAGTAATGTTTCTAGTTTACTGAGAACTAAAACCAGTCAGGCAGCATACTATGAACTTACGTGCATAATTTTATCACACCATTCCCACGATGAAGGCGTGTTGATAATCCCTTTTGATAAGGAAACTGAGGCTCAGGGAAGTTAAGTGACTTGCCCCAAATCAGAGCCAGGATTCTAGCCCAGGACCAAAAGCTCTCACTCATACCTATTCCTCATCCCAGCTTGTCTCTGTGAGCAATGCCCAAGGCACTGTGGCGTGCCCTGTAACCCAGGCTGGGTAATGTTTACCGGTGAAAAGAAATGTCCAAAAAGCAGTTTTCAAAAGCAAATCAGTGACAGACAAAGTATGAGTACACACCTCATTCTCTTTATCTATGTTGGTTTCTTAAATCTGAGATGAGATTGAAATTAAAACAAGCAATGTGCTATAGAAAATTTTGATAAATGGACCAGGCACAGTGGCTCATGCCTCTAACCCCAGCATTTTGGGAGGCCAAGGCAGGCTGATCATGAGGTCAGGAGATTGAGACTATCCTAGCCAACATGGTGAAACCCCATTTCTACTTAAAATACAAAAATTAGCTGGGCGTGGTGGCATGTGCCCGTAGTCCCAGCTACTCGGGAGGCTGAGGCAGGAGAATCGCTTGAACCCGGGAGGCGGAGGCTGCAGTGAGCCGAGATCGCGCCACTGCACTCCAGCCTGGAAGACAGAAAGAGACTCTGTCTCAAAAAAAAAAAAAAACAAAAACAAAAAAAAAAACTTGGGTAAATGGAATATAGGAGATCACTATTCATCCTAAACACGGGTAGTCTTGATACTTTTGTCCTTGAAATGTTACATGCCTACTTTTAACATTATACTTAACTTTTTAAAATCTGAGGTCTCTTAGGAATTGCAGTGCTATTAAAATACACTTTCCATACAATAGAAATATAATTTAGGTATTCTTTTGCCAATTCAGTTGGTGATGGCTCAAATTCTTAAACAAACTGTTTTGTTTTGTTTCCACTATTTCTTATGGGAGTGTATAATGTAGTAGAAAAGGTTTTTCTGTTTTTTGTTTTTTCTTGGTCTCAGCTGTGTGACTTTGGTCAAGTCACTTAACTTCTCTGGGCTTATATTTTCCTAAAAACAGATTTGGATGAGATCTTTTTAGATCTCTAATTTTATAATTGCTTATATACCATAGGGCATTCACTGGCCATTTAGTTGTGCTGAGTATTATAATGTTTTAAAATAACAGGCATCAGGTCATATTTACTGAAACACACAGGGAAGAAAGGAGCAGAGTTCTGGAGATGACAAGAAAATCTGGTCAAAAGGGATCCACTTGCCACTGTCTCTAAGAGCAGGCTGTGAGAGTCAGGTTTCTGATAACCAAATGGATTCTTCTCAGGCTAACAAGACCTCATGTTAAAATGTAGCAAAAGAAATAGAAATGGCCTTGCATGTGACTTAAGTTTTACATCTCTGCATTGGAATCTGTCTCTTACTTTCAGATTGCTGAATTCTAACTCATTCACGATCATCCGGGATGACGCTTTCGCTGGACTTTTTCATCTTGAGTATCTGTAAGTTTTGCGCTTTGTCTGTTTGCTGAACATCTGGTACCTTGGTAGAATTTCTGGATTGGTTTCTATGCTGGAACGGCATCTCTGCAAGGGTCTAGGGGTGGAGAAAGTGGAGAACACCCCATTCTCTTTTCAGCACTGACCTTTTGTAGTTGACTTGCGGACGAACATGCTGGGGCAGGAGGAGGCTGGAGACAAAGACGGAGAGATGAAACAAAGAAGGAGAGAGGTTCATTCATTCTCTGCTGACATTTAAGTCGTCATGTAGTAAGCACAATTGGAAATTGCATTGGATATTTTTACCTCTGATAACTAAGCATAGATTTGCTGATCAGCCGGAAATGGAGTTGCGGGGTTTTGAGGGTTACGGATTTTTAATAAAGCCTCCCTATTTGAGGGGTACAACTTCATGTTGTTCATTCACTGGCCTACATCTCTTTTGCAGTATCTCCTATGAATTGCTCCTGAGGGTCTAATTTTATTTTATTGTTTCCCTTTAAAATAAAAAGGTGATTTTTCCCTTTTGTGATGTGCAGGTCTTTCCCCTCGCAGTGAGCTTTGCCCTTGTTCTGATTTCTGCCTTTTCTTCCTTTCATGTCTTTTTTCCCCTTGAAGTTCTTTCATCCTTGTCTTTGGTAACTTTGTAATAATGTTAATCCTGCTATCAGATGGGATTTCCTCACTTAGCATTCAGAGAGATTTTTAAAGCCTCATCTCATTTTCTTGTCTGAGTTCAACAGGTAGTCTTGGAATTCTAGACACATCTCAGGTATAAGAAAGGTCTCTGCTGACTTTGTGTCCTGAGGAAAGATGTCCCTGAGGAATTTTTTTTCTAGAGCATACATAATATGTGTATTCTCATAATACTCTGATGTGATGGTATATGTAGCATAGAAAGTGTAGCACAACTGCAATGCTAAATCTGGCTAGGGTCTGTGAAAACCCATACGTAGCCAATGGAGGTCGTGGTTGTAAAGCTATGAGTTTTCTCTTACAGGGAGTTCATCTTATGGTCACGGTTATTGGAGAGGAAGTTAGCTCATCAGTTTATGCTGAAGTCTATTACTGAAGAGACACCTCACTTTTAAAAACCATCAGTGAGCTCTCGTTGCAGGAATCAAGAACTAATTCATTGATGGTGGTGTGTTACAAAGCCCCACCCACGGAGCATCTCATCCAAGACCCGCTTACACTTGACTTCATGTGATGCTATCAACTAAAATTTAGTTCTCCCTGGGCCTAGAGAATAGTCATAGTGAATTCACATCCGTTCTTTCCCACAAAGACCTTAAAGCATGGCCAGTGCTATTACTGCAGGATCCCATGTGCAAGCCCTATGGAGCTTTAGTACAGAGAAAGAAGTATCGTCTCTACTCAACTTCATTATCCTTCCTACTTCCTTGTGGCTTAAAGAGCTCGGGCTTTTCCCTGCCTTGTCACCCATTTGTTTGGTGATTAGATGACGTAGGGCACAATATAAACTCAAAGTTGCTGAAAACCAAGCTTGATGGAACTCTCCCTCTGCAAAAAACTTTAATAAGGAGATGGAAAACAAGGAACCCTCTCAAGGGACAGTGCTACTAACAGAAGTACGAATAGCCAGACACCGTGCAATGCGGAAAATGTCTGGAAGCACTCCAGTCTTGCAGGGATATGAGAAATTCTTGCCTTTGTATACTGTTTTCTTCTTTATTTCCCTCTAAGATTTTTTTTTTTTTTTTTTTTTGAGATGGTGTCTTGCTCTGTTGCCCAGGCTCGAGTGCACTGGCACGATCTTGGCTGACTGCTACTTCCATCTCCCGGGTTCAAGTGACTCTCCTGCCTCAGCCTCCAGAATAGCTGGGTCTACAGGCACATGCCACCATGCCTGACTAATTTTTGTATTTTAAGTAGGCATGGGGTTTCACCATGTTGCCCAGGCTGGTCTCGAACTCCTGAGCTCAGGCAATCCGCCTGCTTAGCCTCCCAAAGTGTTAGGATTACAGGGGTGAGCCACCGCACCCAGCACCCCCAAGATGTTTTTACCCATGTTGCCAGCTCAGAATTTGAAGACTTCCACGCCACTCTGGAAGGAGTGCACACCACACACTCACGTGCATGCCTTTTTGCACACACCCTGCTACCGCGTGGAATTTGGTGTAGCTGACCTAGCCTTCAGAGATAAATCCTTATAATCCAGGAATGCTTTTAGATTTTATTCTGAAATCTTACTGATACAGTTTTTAAAGAGATACTAAGGAGAAAAAAATCATTCTAATTATACAACTTTTCCTTTTAGGTTCATTGAAGGGAACAAAATAGAAACGATTTCCAGAAACGCCTTTCGTGGCCTCCGTGACCTGACTCACCTGTAAGTCTTATGAAAAGTATTGTAAATCTTTTAACGTGTGGAGTAAGACTCATTTCCTGGGGCCTCCCTGTTTCTTGACTGTTATTTCCATATTGTAATAGTCCTTGAAGGAAACGAATTTCTAGATTACCCAAGAAGTTTCTATGTTGTCAATCAGACACTGGCTCATTGTGACTACTCACATACTTGTCTTTATTGTCATCTCTAGCAACCTGAATTGCAGTGATAGACCACATGACTGTGTGTGAATTAAGGAGCAACCTGGGGTGTGAGGAGCTTGTGTCACTTGATGGAGGAGATGGGAAGGCCATGATTTTTTTTTAGCCCAGGCTAAAGTGCAATGGCACGATCTCAGCTCACTGCAGCCTCCACCTCCTGGGTTCAAGACATTTTTATGCCTCAGCCTCCCGAGTAGCTGGGATTACAGATGCCTGCTACCACGCCCAGCTAATTTTTGTATTTTTATTAGAGATGGGGGTCTCACTATGTTGGTCAGGCTGGTCTCGAACTCCTGATCTGAAGTGATCCACCTGCCTCGGCTTCCCAAAGTGCTGGGATTACAGGCATGAGCCACCGCACCCAGCCAGGAAGGAAATTAATGTGAGTCTTACACCTGCTTGGCACCAGGCACAGGGCTGGGTGCTTAGTGAGCCTTCTCTTCTTTAGCTTTCATAATAAGCTGTGAGTTCCCATTTTACAGATTTTGGAATCTAGGCTTAGATGACTAAGTGGAATGTTGGATGAGAATTAGGACAAAGTGGAATAGAGACATTTTCATGGCTCTTCTCATTTGAATGCAAATCACTTTTTTTTTTTATGTTGGGTTAATTTGTGGTTTCAGCTAAGCTCTCTGGTTCTGTAAGAGCTTTCTGGAGATAAAATTAAACAAATCGATTTGAAATTGACTTATCAGAATGAAGCAAGTATATGCACTTAGAAAATTGATAAAATTTACAAAACTGGAAAAAATAGTGGCTGTGTTTATGAAAATGTAAAAATACTCATTGCCTTGATACGAGTAATTCGTTAGCCAGGAACCAGGTCCCTTTTGCGTGATGGATATTCTGCGTTTGAGTAAGAGAACATGTCTCCTCTCCGTAGTCAGCCTGCCTGCCATAAGGATAGTGGGGAAACTTGGAGGATTTCGACGGGAAGTGTCGGGCAGGGATGGTAGTACCTTCAGCGTGTGTAAACATGACTGGTACAGTGTGGACATAGTCATCTAATGAGGTAACCATTCACATCAAGCCTTGATATTTGCAAAGGGGTCTGTCCATAGGCCTAGCAAGCGCTTGATTCTGGAATGCCCACAAGCAGACACTCTGCCTGAGTTAAAGCTTTAAGGAGGGAACAGACGTGGGAGGCCCAAACATCCGTGTCAGCATAGTTGGTACTGGAGAATGTCCGAGGTCTTCATTTCTTCCTAAAAAAGCCTTGATTGTTTTTCAGATTCAAGCTAAGTGTCAAATCCCCAGATTCCTGTAGAGGCTACAGTCGTGCGCTTGGTGTTGTATAGGCTCGGGTTCAAATCTCAAGGCCATGATTTGTTAATATTGCTTAACTCTGCTGAGACTTAATGTCCTTCTATTAAAATAGGAATAACTATACTGATTCCATGGGATTGCTGTACATAAAGGGTTAATGCTTGCTTGCGAAGCATCTGGCCCATTATTCATGGTAAACGCTCAAGGCATAGCCGGCGTCATCATCACATCATTCCTTCCCTCCACGCATTAAGAAGTCCCCATTTCCTTCATGGTCCATCAAGTATCTTTGACAGTAGCAGTTTGGGTGGCCAGACAGGGTCTGCTAAGAAGACAGCTGTGGGTGTCTGAAGAGGAACAGCTGTGGCCAGATGAGTCTGGTTCCCAGAAGTCAGGAATTAGAGGCTTTGTATTTGAGCAAAAGCTCTGGGCAGATTATAAACCTAAAGCAAATCCCGTATAACGGGCTGAGTTAGCCCAGATGACAACTTTCATTTGCTCACATGGCTACGGTTCTTCCATCAGCAGCAGAGTGTGAGCAAGCAGGTATCATGTACAGACATCTGCATGTCTTCGTGCAGGTGTACAAAGTGTCCTTGGATGCATGGACTTACATACATGAGTGTACATAGCTGTGTTCATGTGTGCATGCTTATGCATTTGTTTCATGTGTACGTGTGTGCAAGAGGCACCTCCTTTTCTGTGGTATGCACAGAGAACACAAACACAGGGAGTGAGGGAGTCCTGCCCTGGGGCCCAGAGAGCACAAATGCGTTAGGGAAGAACCAGCTCATCTCAGTGAGTAGGACGACCCTGCAGTCAAGCCCACAAGTCAAGCCTCTTCTCAGCTCTCTAACTTCATCTCTCTGAGTGTCCTCAGAACGTCAAGCTCTCGGTGCTCCCTCATGCTCACCTACCTTGTCCACTGCTCTTCCTCACATGCTCTCCCTTGCCTGGGATGCTGTTTCTCCTGCCCGTCGTCTCTTGGAATCTCTTTTCTTTCAAAGTCCAGATTAAGTTCAATCTCCCTCGTTAAGATGTCTCCATCTTCCTCTTCACTCCTGCCATTGGCTTCACGCAACCAGCACTTTACTGTCTACGATGGCCATACTGGCTGCTACTGCAGCCTGGCTGCTGGTTTTATCTCCCGGCATGTTGGAAGCTCCAGGAAGGCAGGACTTTCAGTGATCTTCCCTTAGCTCTGTTCTTCCCCAGTGCCTAGCGCCAGGCTAAGCCAGCAGGATGTACTTTCTGATTTGCTAATTGATGGATGGCTTCTTAATGGAGTTGGATTTTCCATATGTGCTCTACTTCTGGGCAAGTCAGGCGAGATTTTTTTTTTTTTTTTTTGAGATGGAGTCTTGCTCTGTCACCCAGGCTGGAGTGCAGTGGTGTGATCTCAGCTCACTGCAATCTCTGCCTGCTGGGTTCAAGTGATTCTCTTGCCTTAGCCTCCCGAGTAGCTGGGACTACAGGTGTGTGCCACCATGCCCGGCTAATTTTTTGTATTTTTAGTAGAGATGGGGTTTCACCGTGTTAGCCAGGATGATCTTGATCTCCTGACCTCATGATTCACCCGTCTTGGCCTCCCAAGTGCTGGGATTACAGGCATAAGCCACCGCACCCAGCTGTCAGGCAACTTTTAAAGTTGACTCTTCTAGGTTGGAGATGTATTTAGTAATTCAGGCATTTAATATATTGTTTAAAGAATGAACCAGTTCAGCTCCCTCCTTTTTTAAAAACCTCTAAGCTAAGAGAAGATACCAAGTCTCTAATGTTCACTTATAAAAGTTCCTACTTGGAATTTGCTTAATTCATTTAAGCAGCTGATTTTTATCTTTTATGCTTACAGACTCACATGCCTAGGAAAAGAGACGCAGATCAGGTTTCAAAGCGTTGAAGGAGCTCTGCCAATCTGCAACTAAAATCTAGAACATTTGTTTCCAGCAGTTCCGTGAAGCCCAAGGGACATGGAGCTGTTAAATAGTTTTAGAAATAAAGTTAAGTGCCATGATTTGTAGGCAAAATGAAGTGGAAAGGCAGGTGTTAAGCACTTAGTGTGAGTGGGGTGAGTAACCCATCTGAATAATTCTGCTTTCTGAAATCTAAATTGAACACTTGGAACATTGCTAAACACTTTTTTTTTTTTTTTTGGCTTTGATCATTCCATGTATACTTAGCATTTCAATAGAATAACTTTCAATTAGCTGCAGTTTTTAGCTAACAATGTTAATTAGCTAAAACATTTTTGTACCTTACTTTCCAGAAAATGTAACCATCAACCAGGAAAAAAAAAATCAAAACAAATACTCCCTTTTAAAAATTTCCAACAGATCTTTCAGTGTCGCTTCAGTCTGATGACATATTCAGCCTATTTTCCAACACAGTTAAAAATAAACAAATACATCATTTAGAAAAGAGAGGTAAAACAGTACACGAAATTTTATTTAAATTCATTTGTGGTTACCTAGATAGAAAGGGGCACAATCAGAAACTATGGCTCTTCCCATATCCAGTTGGTGTCTTGAAGGAAGAGTGTTTGGGATCCAAGCTTTCTGCTCTGCTCAGCTAACCGGCTCTAGGTAGGAATACCCATTTCTTTAATTCATCTTTCTGGGATGGGTCGTTAGGATGATACAAAAGATGCATTTCAGATATATCTTAAATAGGTTGGTGCTGAATTGCTTACATGCTTATCATTTATATGTTTTGCTGCTGGCATTCATATGTGTAAAAGAAAACAAAAGTAGGCATCGGCTTCTTGGCTGACTCACATTAGAGTGCAGCGCCTGGGGAAATCACAGACTCGATGTACATCACTTCAACACTCAGCGTCTTTCTACATCAACAGCCCTGCACCATGGACATTCATCTCAACAGGATGATGACAGGGCACTGCAAAATCCTGAATCATCAGAGAAACAGTGGATGCTGTGCATTCTAGTCTATTTCCTGGAGATGGGGAAATGGACTTGGACATCTTAGAATGATCTTCAACACTAAGAACAAAAATGCAAAATGGTTTCGGGTCAACCTTCATTAATGTGAAAATGAAATTGATCATAGTCAATCATTCCCTACACATTCTGATTCATTGAGGTTTTATTATGTTATTCTTAAAGGTTGAGATGAGTGTCTTTAAGTAAAGGGGTGTTTACTGAGTCCTTTCTTAGAGTCACAAGTAATAGCATTCACTTAGATAAACCACTAGGGAACTTCTTGGGACAAGACTGTAAATTCTTCTATCACTCTCACTTTGGTGCTTAATACATTAATTCAGTAGCCATATACCGAGTGCCTGCTGTGTGCCAGGCACTGTTCTAGGAACTGGAGATACAGCAGTGGACAGACAGACAGTAACCTCTGTCCTCATGTGACTTATGTAGAGGGAGGATACACAGCCAGTAAACAAATAGATAATTAAAATATGTAGCGTGCCAACTGATGGCGGTGCAGGGAAGGGAGATGTGCAGAGGCCTGAAAAGGTGATGATACTTGAGGACAGACCCAAAGGAGGCATTGGAATGCTAAATGGATATCTGGGGGAAGAGCATTCCAGGCAGATGACCAAGTTCAGTGGCCTGGAGATAGGAGCATGCCTCACCCATTGGAGGAATAGCAAGGAGGCCAGTGTGGCTGGATCAGAGATCCACTGAGGCGTTGGAGACCAATGAGATGTGGTCTCCTAGGTGAGCAAGAATGCAGGTAATCAGGCAATAAAGGTCTTTCGCCACCGAAGGAACTTTAGCTTTGATTCCAAGAAACATGAGAAGCCATCTAGGTTGAGCAAATATACATAAAGAGCTTAAAAAGTGCTTTTTGTATTTTTTTTTAAAAAAGTAGAATCCAGCATCTCTGATGTTATCTTTGCATAACTAAGCTCATTTCTCTATCTCAATATTGATGACCAAAGCTGCACTTTAAGTCAATAGCTTTACTGGAAGGGAATTGAGAGTGACAGATTGTGAGGTAATAACCACATTGCAATGTGACTTTCTTGTTCTAGCTCTCTGGCCAATAACCACATAAAAGCACTACCAAGGGATGTCTTCAGTGATTTAGACTCTCTGATTGAACTGTAAGTAATGGAATTAAGTTTATGTGTGCCTGTCATTGTGCCCCAGTTAATCATGCCTTTCAATCCCCTCTCACCTTCCTTTTATGTGTTTATTTTATGCTGTGGCTAAAAATCTATAATAAAGTAGTGCATCCTGGGAAACAGCATATAGTTTGAGTTGTGTTGGATTTTGCCATTTTTTGCTTAATGCTCATGAGGCCAGTGGTAAATCACTCCTGGGTGGGAAGTCCCCTCCCTGTGATAGTGCATTCACCTGCTTTATCTTCTAGCGTTTGTTGCTTCTTACTGGATGTAGTGTTTTTTTGTTTGTTTGTTTGTTTTTTCAGACCGAGTCTCGCTGTGTAGCCCAGGTGGAGTGCAGTGGGCTGATCTTGGCTAACTGCAACCTCTGCCTCCCGGGTTCAAGCGATTCTCCTGCCTCATCCTCCTGAGTAGCTAGGATTATAAGCACCTGCCATTATACCCAGCTGATTTTTGTATTTTTAGTAGAGACGGGGTTTCGCCATGTTTGCCAGGCTGGTCTTGAACTCTTAACCTCAGGTGATTTGCCCGCCTTGGCCTCCCAAAGTGCTAGGGTTACAGGCGTGAGCCGCCATGCCTGGCCTACAGGGCATAGCTTTAACAAGAGCTTGAAGTTTCGATTGTGTTTGTGAAACCCGTCTTTTTACAACATCTTCTTTATGTGTATGAGAACCTTTGTTGGGGGATGTTCTTCTGTCATCTGTCTCCCATTTCCAGCATGGTGTGGAGACAGCTTCAAGAGCATCTGGAGGGATGATGATATGTCCTCGCTGAGAGCTCTCTGGACATTATGCAGTTAAATCTCCAGTGCTAAGGAGCATTCAATAACATCAATGATAGATATGAGAAACAGGAGGCATTAAATACAAAATTTTTTAAACTTCATTTTTAGGGGGTCTTAAATATATCACAATGTTAATAATTCTGGAGTTAGGTGTTACACATCAGACACGTCTATTTCTCTGTGTATGTGTTTGTGTTTTGTTTTGATTTTTAGAGATTTAAGGGGTAATAAATTTGAATGTGACTGCAAAGCCAAGTGGCTGTACCTGTGGTTGAAGATGACAAATTCCACCGTTTCCGATGTGCTGTGTATTGGTCCGCCAGAGTATCAGGAAAAGAAGCTCAATGATGTGACCAGCTTTGACTATGAATGCACAACTACAGGTATTCAGAACCTCAGCAGACATGGATATTTCAAATAATCTCCTCGTCTTTCTTTTAGACTGTTAACGGAAAGTAGGGAACGTGAATATAGAATTGTTTATCAAAATTGTTTTAGAGAAATTTTAAGCATTCTAAAGAAATGAATCAACGCGGTAAGGAAAATATCTCAAAAGTTAGGAAGAACTTTTTGTTAACTGCCCTGGCTTCAACTGTGCTTCTTTACAAAATTCAAATTTCTCTAAGGGTTTCATTTTCTTAAGTCAAAGTATGAACTCGTGGGTTTGGCATGAGAATGTTATCAAATCAACCTAGGTTTCATAGGAGGCCAGCACAGAGAGGCCTAAGTTACTCAGTTGAGACTGTTCTCTTGCTTTAGTAAGATGAAGGTCACTGGACATTTAACTAACAAATACCAGACTGTTACACTTTTTTTTTTGAGATGGAGTTTCATTCTTGTTGCCCAGGCTAGAGTGCAATGGCATGATCTCGGCTCACTGCAGCCTCTGCCTCTTGGGTTCAAGCAATTCTCTTGCCTCAGCCTCCCAAGTAGCTGGAGTTATAGGCACCTGCCACTATGCCCAGAAAATTTTTGTATTTTTAGTAGAGACGGGGTTTCGCCATATTAGCCAGGCTGGTCTCAAACTCCTGACCCCAGGTGATCCGCCCACCTCGGCCTCCCAAAGTGCTGGAATTACAGGCGTGAGCCACCGCGCCCAGCAAACACCAGACTTTTAAACTTATGAATGACTTTCAGAGTCCCATATAAGAAGAGATAACTAGGTAAATTATAACCAATGGCAAAATAGAAAATAAAAGTTAACAATTAGTTATCAAAGGAAAACAACCCACATTGATGGAAAAACGTAAAGAAGGTTTTATTTTGTTTTCCAGGGCCTGACACAAGCTTTCAGTTTATACATTTTTCAGGATATAAGATAAAATTAAAACACTAACTGCCTCCACTGTCACAACGTGAGGCCCGTGGTATTGGTGAGTCTCTCCACTGGAAAGGCTTAGGTGGGGTTTCTGTGGCTTCTAAAGCCAGAGAGAGGATCAGGCCACTGTATGAAACCTGCTTACCTGATTTATAAAAATACACATTCAGGCTGAGAGCTGATATCTACAAAGCCTCAGGTCATGTCAGGAGAAGCAGCAGGAATTGAAACAGAAAACAGTTACAGAAACTCAAAAGACACCAAAACTCCAAGAACAAAATATCCCATTTAGGCCAGTCCCGCTACCACCTTCCAACAAATAAGCAAAAACCCACAAAGTAAAAATCATTTCTAGGTATCTTTGTTTGTAAATAAGGGACCCTACAAGTTCTGTTCTTTTCTGATAAACAGCCTGAAATCCCACGGAAATGACTTTTTCTTTCATCATCAAATAGGGGCTTATTCAGCTGTGTAATTGGCAGGTGCCCCATAGTCAGCAGAGGCCACTAGGAGGTTAATTTATTGTATTTTAGAGCCAGGGCAATAAGTCAGAGGTTGTAGTCAATAACGTTTGCACCAAAAGGTGGCATTCAAGACTCTGGTATTAAATGCTAAATTGAATTAAATTTAATTAAACCACAGCTAAACCAGAGCTTACTGAGACTTCTCTCTACCTTTTCTCTATTTTTTTTTCTGGAGAGTTCTAGAAATGCCAAGGTGAAATTTGCAGATTTTCCATTGTTCTCTTCATACCTGGCCACAGCGTGTGGAAACTTTGCCAATGTCTGATAAAAGTAATGGGCTAGAGGGCCATGGGAATAGAATATAATTTCTACAAGAAAATATATTTTCTGAATTTAGGGCCCTGGGGATGGTTATAAAAATGATCTAGGCTCTGAGAATTGTTATTGGAATGGAAGTAGCTTGGAACTAAGGTAACCTGTTCTCATCCCGGAATCCACGGAGCCGCAAGAGAGGCCTTAACACGTTTGAGGGCCTTCTCTGTCGTATGCAGCATTTGTCTTCATGAGCAAGCTTTCTACTAAAATTTACAAAGTCAGCACAAGGCTTTCTGTTGAGAGGGACATGATGATTCTGTCTTTGCCATGGTTTTATCCCTTTAAGACTCATGAACAGATGAGACTCTTGCCGAGAGTTTCTTCCATCAGCCTCTGTGTCTTCATTAAAAGCTAAATGGGGGCATGGGGTGGAGGGGGGAATGAATGAGGATGAATGGAAAATGGAAGGCCAGATTTGAGAGTTTATGGTACAGTTACCGTATTCTTGCTAAAGGTTTGGAAAGAAGCACATTTTCTAGTATGGTTGTTTTCCTTTCAACTCAGATTTTCAGAAAAGGGGTAAGTTTTCTTGTGTCTCACTCTATTTTTTCCCAGAGAGAGGAAGGCCCTGTTACCATTCTGTTCCTTGGCCAAGGGATTTAATTTGCACCGCAGAGCCACCATTGGGCTGTTTCAGGTCTTTAGATTAATAGTCTGTTTTGTAACCCTCCCCTTCAAGTCTATTTTTAACCACCTCAAAAGTCCCTGTTACCTACCGATGATTCCCTGTGTTAGGTGAGTAATTCACTAAATTCCTCAGAGGAAGTGAATTTTGCATCCTAATTGTCCTGTTAGCTTCCCCTTTTCAGGGCTGATGAAAATGCAAGGAGAAATAATGCATTAATGTGCAGTTTCTCTCCCGGTAGGATCCGCATCATGTATAATTTATTTTCTGCAAGTGCTATAAATAGCTATGTAAAAATCTGTTGATTCCACTGGGAGAAAGGCCTAAATTGTGAGAGTCCCACTGACATCATGAACTTAATCCAGTGTGAATGGAAGTGGCAGCTCTTTTTGCAGAGTGCCATTAATATTTTAACACTAGTAAATTGATGTCATATCAATATGTGTATTTCTGAGATCTTTCCACAAGAACGTGCTTTTGCTGTTTGTGACAAGTAAATTTAGGTGGGGTGGGAGAAGATATTTAAATTCCTCTGATCCTCTTCTCTGATACCCACGAACGTATATGCGTCAATCATTTTCTTTACATTCTCTCTCTCTTTTTTTTTTTTTTTTTTTTTGTTTTGAGACAAGGTCTTCCTCTTGTCATTCAGGCAAGAGTGCAGTGGCACAGTCATAGCTCACTGCAACCTCAGCCTCCTGGGCTCGATCGATCCTTCCACCTCAACCTCCAGAGTGGCTGGGACTACAGGCATGCACCACCGTGCCCCATTAATTTTTTTAATTTTTAGTAAAGGGAAAGTCTTGGTATGTTAGCTAGGCTGGTCTCAAACTCCTGGCCTCAAGCAGTCCTCCTACCTCAGCCTCCCACGCTGCCAGGATTACAGGCACAAGCTATCTTGGCTATCTTGCCTGGCCCCATTCTTCTTTTTTCCTTCTCTTCCTCTTCTTCCTTCTTCTCTTTTTGGGAGGTGGGGAGTGGGTTCTTCTATTAAGAGTTAGATTTGTAGGCCGGGCGCGGTGGCTCACACCTGTAATCCCAGTACTTTGGGAGGCTGAGGCGGGTGGATCACGAGGTCAAGAGATCGAGACCATCCTGGTCAACATGGTGAAACCCTGCCTCTACTAAAAATACAAAAAAAAAAAATTAGCTGGGCATGGTGGCGCGTGCCTGTAATCCCACCTACTCAGGAGGCTGAGGCAGGAGAATTACCTGAACCCAGGAGGTGGAGGTTGCAGTGAGCCGAGATCGCGCCATTGCACTCCAGCCTGGGTAACAAGAGCG